ATCTACAAATAAAACTCTCTAAAAAGCCACACAAGAAATAGTGTGACCAGCAGAAGTAGGGAGGTGATTGTGCCCCTGTACTCAGCACTGGTGAGGCCACACCTGGAGTGTTGTGTCCAGTTTTGGGCACCTCAATACAAGAGAGATCTCGAGGTGCTGGAGCGAGTGCAGAGGAGGGCAACGAAACTGGTGAGGGTCCTGGAGAATAAACTGTACAAACAGTGATTGAAGGAGCTGGGACTGTTTAGTTTGAGGAAGAGGAGGCTGAGGGGAGACCTCATCAATCTCTACAACTACGTGACAGAACACTGTAGAGAGGTTGGTGCTGGTCTCTTCTCACAGGTAATTAGTGACAGAACGAGAGGGAATGGCTTCAAGCTCCAACAGGGGAGGTTTAGACTGAACATTAGGAAGGAATTTTTCACCGAAAGAGTGGTCGGGCATTGGAACAGGCTGCCCAGGGAGGGGGGGGAGTCACCAGCCCTGGATGTGTTTAAGGGACGTTTAGATGCGGTACTGAGGGACATGGTGTAGGGGAGGACTTTGTAGAGTAGGGGAGATGGTTGGACTCGATGATCCCAAGGGTCTCTTCCAACCTAGACGATTCTATGATTCTATGAAATAAGTGTCAGACTTGCATAGTTTTCCATCTTCATTTGCCATTTCCATGGATCTAGAAATTGAAGAGTTTGAAAACCACTGTTCTAGAGCTATAAGGTCATTACAACTCTTATCTAACCAGATCACATGCACGTTCATTCTGATATTCCACAGGGGGAGTCTCAAGGATAAGCCCTGCCGTGAATGAAGAAATTGAAGAGTTTGAAAACCACTGTTCTAAGAGCTACCAGGGTCATTACAACTCTTTCTAACCAGATCACACGCACGTTCATTCTGATATTCTACAGGGGGAGTCTCAAGGATGTGCCCCGGCGTGCACACAGCTTGCCCTAAGGGCTGGGAAATCAAGCTCTGTGTAGCAGGGACTTTATTTCCAAAGTTTTTCTAACTGTGGCAGAAAGTCTGTTTCTCTTCCAAGGCATTTGCTGCACCCGTGTACAGTCCTCCCGTGGAAGCAGGTGGGAAAGGCTGCACGTGGATATACTATTGTTCAACGCAGAAGTTTTCAGAGATATACATATCCTGTATCAGTAAATATCTTCTTATCGCAAGACTATTACTTTTAAATGAAACAATGCACAGACGAAGGCCTACAGACCTTTCTTCTTCCCTTCTTTACGCTCCTCAAAAGATCATGAGCCACAGGGAATACTTTTGCCAGGCAGCAGCCTTCACGAGCAAAAAGCCTGGTTACAGTCAGGCCAGCAGAGTATTATGAAAACACTGTGAAGTGATTACACTATAAAAATGTAATCCGCTCCAAGAGCGAGCCATTATAAGTGCCCATGAAAGGGAAGAACGCTGGAACGAACATAGCACAAAAACAATAGCTCCAAGTAGGTATAAAAGCACATTTAACTACTCTGCAAATGCAAAAATCCTTGTAGCTGAAAGTCTTTAAAGGAAACGCACCACCACAAAACAAACCAAGCACTCATCTGAAATTCTCCTTAAGGTGAATAACCCACAGCTGTATTTACAGATACACAAGCACCATAGTCACCATGAGACCATGAGCTGACCATGAGCCATCAATGTGCCCCTGTGGCCAAGAAGGCCAATGGCATCCTGGGGGGCATCAAGAAGAGTGTGAGCAGCAGATCCAGAGGGGTCATCCTGCCCCTCTGCTCTGCCCTGGGGAGGCCCCATCTGGAGCACTGGGTCCAGTTCTGGGCTCCCCAGTTCCAGAAGGACAGGGAACTGCTGGAGAGGGGACAGCAGAGGGCCACAAAGATGATGAGGGGCCTGGAGCATCTCCCTTACGAGGAGAGGCTGAGGGTCTTTTTAGTCTGGAGAAGAGAAGGCTGAGGGGGGATCTGATCAATGCTTATAAATACTTAAAGGGAGGGTGTCAAGAGGACAGGACAAGTCTTTTTTCAGTGGTGCCCAGGGACAGGACAAGAGGAAATGGGCACAAACTTGAATGTAAGAAGTTCCACCTAAACATGAGGAGGAACTTCTTTCCTGTGAGGGTGGCAGAGCCCTGGAAGAGGCTGCCCAGGGAGGGGGTGGAGTCTCCTTCTCTGGAGACATTCAAACCCACCTGGACACGTTCCTGGGGGACCTGCTCTGGGTGGACCTGCTTTGGCAGGGGGGTTGGACTAGATGATCTCCAGAGGTCCCTTCCCACCCCATGTGATTCTGTGAGAACTGACCCTCATTATTGGCTGAAGAAATATAAAACAGGTGCTCAATCTTCAGCTAACAAGAGAAGTAGTGGGAACAATTTATGACCTGCCTGAGACATCTAAAAAAAAAAAAAAAATATGCAATTTTAGCAAGTGCTTTAGACTTGCTAGAGTTGAGCTTATATTTTTGTAAGGAAGAATGCAGGGATGAAGGGTGTTATGTCTATCACAAGCTTCTTTTTTTATGCAAAGATTCTTCCTATCACAAAGGTAGGACTGAGATAACAGAAAAAAAAACTAGACACGAGGGCAAGTACTTGCATCCTTCCCTCTATTTCTCCTGTCATAAAATAAAGCTAGTTAGTTAGGTGCTTTTGTTACACTGATTCAAATCTGACATATGTTTCTGAAAAGATTAAAAAGATATCATAATTTTAAAAGGCTATTTGGCTTGTCAGATTTCCTTTTAAGAAAAAAACCCACTTGCTTTTGAAGAACTGAGGGCAGTTAAAGTAGTTTTTATTACAAGTTCTGCAGTACTGTTTCAATGTTTATGAATATTTTACATCTGTTTATATTACAGTGAAACTGCCAACCTTGCTGCAATCTGCCCAAAATAGATTTAGTTCTGAACAGAACTAAAGTCTACTGAGGATTATTCCACTTAAGAGTTTGTAAAAGGTGCATTACTCGTTTTCTTCAATTTACTAAATTTTGTCCTGTGTCAAAGCAGTCATATTTTACATTTTCCAGGGAAAGCCATTAGAACACCACTGTGTCCCTCTCAACGTCTTTCCCAGTCTAAAATGTACCAGATTCAGTGCAAGGTGTCAGCCTCACAGTAATCCCTGCACCCATGTGCTTTCAGAGGGAGGTGATTGTGCCCCTGTACTCGGCACTGGTGAGGCCACACCTTGAATATTGTGTCCAGTTTTGGGCACCTCAATACAAGAGAGATCTCGAGGTGCTGGAGCGAGTGCAGAGGAGGGCAACGAAACTAGTGAAGGGCCTAGAAGACAAATCATATGAAGAGTGGCTGAAGGAGCTGGGGCTGTTTAGTTTGAGGAAGAGGAGGCTGAGGGGAGACCTCATCACTCTCTACAACTACTTGAAAGGACACTGTAGAGAGGTTGGGGCTGGTCTCTTCTCACAGGTAATTAACAATAGAATGATAGGGAACAGCTTCAAGCTCCAACAGGGGAGGTTTAGACTGAACATTAGGAAGGAATTCTTCACAGAGAGAGTGGTCGGGCATTGGAACAGGCTGCCCAGGGAGGTGGTTGAGGGACCATCCCTGTATGTGGTTAAGGGACGTTTAGATGGGGTACTGAGGGACATGGTGTAGGGGAGGACTCTGTAGAGTAGGGTAGATGGTTGGACTCTATGATCCCAAGGGGCTCTTCCAACCTCAATGATTCTATAATTCTATTCTATGGATAAGTGATGCAGAGGTGCAACAGCAGGTCACACTACACAAATTTGCAGGGAAGAGCAGTGTGCCTACTCCAGGGAGTCAGGAGCATCCTCCCCCCTGAACCAAGCCTGTACCTTTCACTCCACAGCTGGTTAAGAGTTCCCAACGCATTGCAAAAGCAAGGAGGAAATCCCCAAAGCAGTGCAACCTGGGCATCACTAAACCTTCCCCTACCCTCCTACTCCACATGCCCCAGGCAAAGGCAACAGAGTGCAAGAACCATTCCTCACCTTCCCAGAAGCTGGAAGCAAAGTGCTTTGGAGCACAATTATCCCACTACACTCCCCCAACTTCTCATTTCCTGAGGAGTAACATGAGAAAGTGTCTCCGGAGAACCTCAGAAAATTTTTCAATTATTAGTAGTGTGCAAGAAAAGGGAAACTATAGGAGACAGGGACACAAAGTACCTGCCAAGAACCTCTGCTCTCATTTAGTTCTGCACGTGCACAGTTATACAGCATTGCTCCAGACCAGAGAGGTTTACGTACAGTGTTATTCAGTAAAGGCTGGGTAAAGACTGCATACCCAAGGCCAGAAAAGAGGTGTTTTAAGGAAATAAACCTACTATCAAAGGTTTGGATAACAGCAACTGCAAGACAGGAACGTGAGAAGTGTTGGACTAGAGAATGAAGGACACAAGATAGCTGAAGAAACGCACCCATATTCCACAGCTGGAAGCAGGCTGATAACACTTGTGAGATATCCAAGTTTCAGGGAGGAACATTAGAAATACACACACACATTAGTAAGAGGGTTAAGTACTTTGCTCATTAACACAAGAAGGCACAGGTACAAAGATTTTACTGGTTTCCAGTAAGGAAAAAGCAGAGAGGCAAATAAAATATACTGCCACTCTTTGGAACAGAAGAGTGGCAGTTCCTAAACCCATTTTATCTTTTCAGGCAGAGAACTCTTAGAGCTTATATTCCACTGTTCACAGAACACAGAAACCTAGTGCACAGATGGGGAAATAATATCCCAGTAACCTACTCCAAATCCCCAAAACTCCTGCCACAAGAGGGTAACAGAAAAACCCAACAATTAACACCATTTGAGTCAGAAAAGCAGAGAGGACAGTGTAGGTTGTAGCTCTGTTGTATCATTTCTTTGGATTGAAGCGCATCCACCTCACCTGGCACATATATCACCCAGCATGGTTTTAGACAAGAAATCTCATCTTAAAGGAGCAGCTTATTTTCACATAAAAATGCTGAAGCAGCAAGATTAAAATAATTCATTATTTTGAAGACAAACATGGCAAACACACTGAAGCAGAATTATTTTTTTTTGGTAGTTGAAATAACTTTTATTTGTGAGGAACGTCACCCATGCTGCACAGTTTCAAATGCATCTCACCAAGGAAAGTGGAAGTTTCTCCTCCCCGTGTCCTGCAGTGAACAGGACTGGCACAGAAAAAAAAAAATAAAACTCATCACACCTGGGAGGTTTAGCACCAGCATCCAATAAAAAAAAACAAAAAAGCATTTGATTTCAATTTCAGTTCTTTGGTTGGGTTTTTTCCCTTTTCAGTTTGATACCAAAAGAAAAATTGAAAAATTCATACTAGCGAAACAGTGAAATTCTAAAAAAATAAAAAAACCAAAAACCCACAGTTGCTGGTGAAACTGGGGAGGTTGCTCTTTCTGAATCTTGCTCTTTTTTCTCTCTTCATGCATCTATCTTGCAGGCGTTCCCTGGATCTCAGCTGCTGGTTATTTTCTTTTTTCTTTTAAGTTCCGATGTTTCAAATCTTTGCTTTTGTCATCACTGTTGACAATTTATTGCTTGAGTGTTTCTTTGGTGTTACTTTTGAGTTGTATTTTAGGACACCTGTTGAAGAGCCAAATTTAAGAAAAATGCAGTTTACTAGGTTTCATTTTCCTGCTGAAGAGGTGGGGTGTCAGGTGGAGAGGGAGTTCTTATAACTACAGACAGGATAAGCCAATCCTGCTGAGAGTATTAGCATCTTCCTAAAGCAAAACACACTAACTCACCAGCAGATGATATTGCTATATAGACCAGATAGATCTTCCTGAAAAAAAATGAGGCTGATGAAGCAAGATTTATTTTGTGACGAATACAGAGAGAGAGGAGACAAAGAAGAGAAAGGCAAACCAAGGAACTGTTTGCTGCTAAGCAGCACTCTCTGAATTTACCACAAATACCTAGCCATGCATAAGGGGGATGTGGCCAGAGTCCAAGTCTTAGAAGTATACACAATGCTGCTTCAGTTGGAGAACAAAAACCATCTATAATCCTTACCTGAGGGATAGTAAAGGTGCCTGGGGAGCCGGACATTACTCAGCACCACTCTGCTCGGTCACTGGAGCAGGATTTTCAGCAGGTGTTTCAGTCACCTTTGTCTGAGACACAATAAAGCTTTATTATAGGCAAAGACTGACCTTCAGGCCCTTCCTCTGTTCAGTGGAAGGCCCAGCATAACCCAGTTTTTAGAATAATTAAGGAAGATGAATCCTCAGAAAAATATAAGCTTTAGTGTATCTTCTACAGTATTACACAGCATATTCTGTCAAGGGACCAGCTCAAGTAGATGCAGAATGAGAAAGTCTTTCCTCATTAAGGTAAAAATTTGTGTTTACAAACAGTTCCCTGAAATAATCTGGCTCAAACAATTCAGGAAATGGATCTGAAGCTTTCACATCCATCTCTTACACTACATACAGACTGAAGGTTTGAGGAAGCCAGAAAACACACTGCTTTTCTCCGTTTCAAAAGTATTTGTTACAGTCTGACCCCAATTAAGAACTATCCAGAAGTGGTCCCTATTCCTACTACTGGTTCTATTTAAGATAAACTCCTCAAAGAAGTTCACAAGGAACAGACAATTAAACCCATGACCTTCAATCATCAGCAATTTGAACCTGGCCAGGCTCCTCCAGCACCGCACTTGGTAAAACCCCCACAGGACAAAAGGTCTTGAGCATTCGTCCCACCAAAACTCAGTCTCTGCCATATTTTGCCAGGAGCACGCTCACCTCTTTCCCATCCTGAGCTGGAGCATTGGGTGGACGAGGTCGACGCCGGTAGTTGTAGGGGCGCCTATACCCACGACGAAGGGGCTGCTGATTCATAGCGTTGGCCTCATGATGGTTCTCTTTGTTTTCAGCCTCTCCAGCCACTGGGGCAGGGCGTGGACGTGGGGGCCCTCTGAAGAGAGGGAGAAATATATGTGAAGTATGAGAGAAGCCTAAGAAGATTGAACTACCACCAGCTCAGCAAAAACCTAACCAAGTACTATCTTGTAATAGCATGGAATGGTTGCAAACCATCCCTTTGGAGTTCAGCTCGCAGATAGTTGCAAGGGAAAGAGCTGTTTTATTGGGTTAGACAAGTCACCTGGGTGTCTCCTCACTGCTGAAGCTACATCAGCATATCCTACTGTCTAATGTAGTGTCCTACACTAAATAGGCAGTTAGCCTATTTGAATTGCTAGCTAGGAGAATCACAGAATCTTAGTGGTTGGAAGGGACCTCTGAGATCGAGTCCAACCACAAAAAAAAAAAAAAAACAAAACAAAAAAAACACCACCAAACAAATACAAAACACACCACACCAAACGCCCACCAAAAACACCGCACCCACCAACTAAACCCCACACTCAACACCTCACCATAAACCAATAACCTTGGGCACTAGAGCATGCCCTGAAGAGCCATGTCTACACGTTTCTTAAACACCTCCAGGGATGGTGACTCCACCACCTCCCTGGGCAGGCTGTTCCAGGGCCTGACCACTCTCTCAGTAAAGTAGTTCTTTCTAATATCTAATCTAAATCTCCCTTGCCCCAACTTCAGACCATTTCCTCTGGTCTTGTCATTCGTCCTTTGGGAGAAGAGGCCAACCCCTGCCTCTCTACACCCTCCTTTCAGGTAGTTGTAGAGGGGAATGAGAAGAAACAAGCCAGTAGCGACCACACCGACTGACTCTGCCAAGTTCACCTTGGACTAGTTCTACACCAGTCCAGCCTTCTTCATAATTAATGGTGCAATTCCTGAGAGCTGCAATTCCACCTGTAAACCATTCCTGGATCTTTCCTCTTTGCCTTATGTTGTCCCTCTTGAGCATGTAAGAAAGTGAAGTATGTATGTATCTCAGTCAGGCAAGTTGGATCTCATTAACACTAACGTGGTAATGACATGGGGAGATCTCTGGGATCTTGTATTCAAAGGCAGACAGAGAGGCTTTTGGTTTGGAACTACAATGTATAGTTACATCTCAAATGTACACGCCACAGTCTGTAACTATGGTCTACAACTTCCTCAAGGCGGGCAGTGGAGGGAGAGGTGCAGATCTCCTGTCTCTGGTGACCAATGATAGGGCACGAGGAAATGGATCAAAGCTGGCTCAGGCAAAGTTCAGCGTGGACATTAGGAAAAGGCTCTTCACAGAGAGGTCACTGAACAGGCTCCCCAGGGAAGCAGTCACGGCAGCAAGCCTGTCAGACTTCAAGGAGCATCTGGATAACGCTCTTAGCGACCACACCGACTGACTCTGCCAAGTTCACCTTGGACTAGTTCTACACCAGTCCAGCCTTCTTCATAATTAATGGTGCAATTCCTGAGAGCTGCAATTCCACCTGTAAACCATTCCTGGATCTTTCCTCTTTGCCTTATGTTGTCCCTCTTGAGCATGTAAGAAAGTGAAGTATGTATGTATCTCAGTCAGGCAAGTTGGATCTCATTAACACTAACGTGGTAATGACATGGGGAGATCTCTGGGATCTTGTATTCAAAGGCAGACAGAGAGGCTTTTGGTTTGGAACTACAATGTATAGTTACATCTCAAATGTACACGCCACAGTCTGTAACTATGGTCTACAACTTCCTCGAGGTGGGCAGTGGAGGGAGAGGTGCAGATCTCCTGTCTCTGGTGACCAATGATAGGGCACGAGGAAATGGATCAAAGCTGGCTCAGGCAAAGTTCAGCGTGGACATTAGGAAAAGGCTCTTCACAGAGAGGTCACTGAACAGGCTCCCCAGGGAAGCAGTCACAGCAGCAAGCCTGTCAGACTTCAAGGAACATCTGGATAATGCTCTTAATCATATGGTTGAGTTTTAGGTAGTCCTGTGAGGAGCAGGGAACTGGACTCTATGATCCTTATGGCTCCCTTCCAACTCAAGATTCTCTATAATCTATCAAGTCCATGTTCCTGCAGCATGCAAGAGCATTTCATCCTATTTCCAGTACAAAAAAAATGTTTGTAAACTGTTAAAACACAGAAGAAGTGATGATGGAGTCACTGCCTGCTCTCTAGTTCCCATTAGCTGGCTTAACTAATCCACAGCTATCCAGTCCCCCAAACCATTAGCTTTTCCAAAGGAATCTACCATAAACTAAATCTGGTCACACTGATGCTTTTATATAAATGCAAGCAATACCTACCTGTTAACTCAAACAGAAACATTGTGCACTCCTATTGGACACAATAAGCTATCTCAGGAAGAAATTTTTTACTATGAGGGTGGTGAGACACTGGAACAGGTTGCCCAGAGAAGCTGTGGCTGCCCCATCCCTGGAGGGGTTCAAGGCCAGGCTGGATGGGGCTTGGAGCAACCTGGTCTGGTGGGAGGTGTCCCTGCCCATGGCAGGGGGGTTGGAACTAGATGATCTTCAAGGTCCCTTCCAACCCAAACCATTCTATGATTCTGTGATCATACCTCTTACAGGAAAAAGAATGCATCAGAAATGCATACATTCCCGTTAGCTATAGGCAAATTATCCAGCTTGTGATTCACCTGCATTACATGCAAAAGCTCAGGTGCCCCACTGTACTTGCTGTGGTGCTATTCCTGACTGCCCAATGCTAACGAAGGCTTTCAAGAATGAAATTTATTCTGCTCACATCCCTACAAGCAGCAGCATCAGTATTACCCCAGTTCCTACAATCCTAGTTAAGAAGGCCAAATTTAGCTCAAACATTTACTGATAGAAACACTCGAAGTAGAGGTGGAAGGTGTATGGTTCTGTACCCAGCATCCAGAAGGATGAATCCATTTTGCATGGAACAGGTAGCCCCCGAGGACAACATTGCTATTCCTATGAAATAGGAATTTCAGCTTCTTGTTGCTCTTCCATTGTTATTTACCTCCTCCTGTTTGTTTTTGAACAAACATGTGCATGAAAAAGTGGAGATTACATCCACTTCATAGTTCATCTCTCTAAATTCTGAAAGTGTTGGAATTCTAAAAGTGTTGGAACTTGACCTCATAAGCTACTTGACAGAGAGACGAGGACAAGATGAAGAGGAGCAAGAGAGCGAGTGACAAACTCTCCTTGAGAGCAGAATCCACAATGCTTTGTGAAGAACCCCAGTAAAATACTGGATTAATTTCACTTGTCACTCATTCTCCAAGATAAAACAAGTTGCAAGGCAGCAAGAATCTGAATGAGCTTTCCCACTTTTAAAGGAATTTTAAAAAGTGAGGCAACATCAAAAAGCATGACAGCCAGAGGCTGGTTATTTCACACCGATAAGCATGACAGCCAGAGGCTGGTTATTTCACACCAATATTTTTAACTGCACCAAATTCCTCAGCTATGGAATTGTTCCCCTCAGAGCAGAGGCTGGAAGCCGGGGGGGTAATGTCAGAACTAAGGCTGGAAAATGAAGAAAACAATCCTGCACTGGCCAGTTTAAGGGATGACTAACACAGATGACTCAGCAACTTACTCCATATATCCCACTGGAAGTATATCCCAGCGTTCATGTGAAATCCAAGGGATCTTTACTAGAAAAAAAAAAATATCAGAACGGCCTACTGGATCTTCAAGAACCCATTTATCCCAGTTCTATGAATCCCTAGGGGAAAAATAAAGACAAGAAAGCCTACTTCCCAAATTGCCTGCCAGTCTCCAATTGTTTTCCACGCTGGAGATTTCCTGAGCCAGATGGAGTTCGTGCCTATTTAGAGATATCACATAATGGTGTTCTCTTCTAGTTATTTGACTGGTCTCCCCAAAGTTCATGCAAGCTTTTAACACCACCAACATCCAGTGGCAAAAAGAGCTCCAGCAACCTGTTGTATGCTTTAGGATCCGAATCAGCAACCTGAAGAGGAGTCAGCAGTGCACCACTGCAAAGGCAGAGGAGATGCCAGGCTGCATCCACAGAGGCACAACTAGGAGAGAGAGATGTGGACACCCCACTCTACTCAACACTTATCAGGCTACACCTGGAGTACCATGTCCAGTTCTGGTCCCCACCATTCAAAAAAAAAGGAGACAGACAGACTGGATACAGCCAAAGGAAAGCCATGATGATCAAAGGGCTGGAGAAGCTTACCTATGAGGAAAGACTGAGGGTGTTGGGCATTTGCTGCCTGGAAAAGAAAAGGCTCACATTCTTTCCCAACCTGGGCTGTTCTATGGTTCTATGAGCCTCCCTTTGTTTTTCAGCATGTCTCCCCACTCCCTTCATTTAAAGTCTCCTCATAGTATATTATTTTATCAAAAGGAAAATTAAAAATAATTTCACCCACCCTTTCCATGCTACTCATTATTCTGAAGACCTCTATAACATATCTTCGTTTGTCTCTTCGCCCAGCCTCAGAGTCCTCAGTCACTTCCACATTCTTTCCTCTTCAATCATTTTGATGAATTTTATTATTCTGGAAGCTCTCTAGTCTCTTTAGCACCCCCTTCCTCCAAAAGTTCTAGCAAGAGTAACTCTAATAGTCCGATTTTGTTATTTCTCCTTTAGAAGCCATCAAGAAACCTAAAATTTAGATCTTTACTGACAGCAATACCCTCCCCTAGAACCAGATACTACAAGGTAACTCTAACGCTGCCTGTAAGAGATAGACATGACTTCAGTTTTTAGTGGACAGTTGGCTTTTCTCTGTACCTGTAAGTAGCACCAGTGCACAGACCCAAGCCTGAGTGATGCATAGGGCTGAGCTGGATGTGCACAGGCTACTAGTCCAGTGCTAAGGTGCACGTTACTGCCTGCAGTCTGCAAGAAGAGTTATAAAGCACAGCCTGCCCCTCCAGATGGTGGGCCGAGCCTGATCCTAGATCAAGTGGGATTTGGATTCATTACTTGTCAAGGAAAGCATAAGTGACCAGCTGGGAAGGCACAGACCCTCCAACTCACTTCAATAAGTTGCTCAACTGTGAAAACTGACAGGATACAAAGAATTCTTCTCTCTTTCTTGACCTATTCCTAGCTCTAAGCAACAAGCACAATAAGCACATTCTACAATTGTTTCCTTACTCCCCTGGCTCACCTTTCTCCTAGGAATTAAAATGCTTCTCACTGTCCCTACTATCTGCATACAAATTAATGCCAGGGAATATAGCTTCCTGCTCTTAATGAAGCCTGTGTAGATCACAAAGCATCCAAATGTAGTGACAAGCAAAGGAAATAATACAAACCTGCGATAGCGGGGACGATAGGTAGGGTTCCTATTGACTTGCTGAAGTTGTGCTCCTTCTGTGACCCCGTCCTTTATTTCTCCCTCACCACCCTGCAACCAAAAGAAAACAAAGATAAAGTGTTACCTTATTTCACGGGCAGTATATTAACTATAGCGCCCAACGATCTGAGCACAAGTTCAAAAACAGTGTATCAGTACAGAAACACCAGCATATTGGGTAAAAAGAAGCAGCAGATATTCCAAAGGCTTTAATATGGGCAAAGATAAGAGTAGGACAGAACAAGAGCCAATAATGCTGTTCTTGTCCCTCTAAGAAGCTGACAATGACTTCTTCCTGTCTGCCATGAAAAGCAGAGAACCTGACAGCACAGAGAGATGCCTCTGAAAGGGCATTTCAAGACAACATTGCACTGTAAGGGGTAAACATGTTATGGAGAGGCAGCAATCGATCAGAACACTTCTGCATTTGGAAAGCTAACTGAAAGACATCATACTGAAACTCGCTAGAGATCACTTCTGGATTCATTCTACACAAAGCCCCATTTCACAGAGAACTCCCACAAAAACATCAAGAAATATAAAGATCTTAAAAATGTCCTACATCATATCAAGTACTCTTTTACACATTCAACATTTTCAACCTTTCAGAGAGGCAGTGGGTATATTTCCTCTTCAGCTGTTAACTGATAAAGCTGTATTTCAGTTTGGGGCTGTTTTGGTTTTTTCTTTTTGTTTGTTGTTTTTTTATTTTTCTAGTTTACTGTTTGTTTTGTTTTTCAAGTGACAGCCCTCAGTAATGTCTGTTTGTAATAGGTTACATTATTTACAGTTTCCATTTTATTATTCTTCCCTTAAAAAAAAAAAAGAGAATTTAACAAGAAACCTAGAAACAGAAACCATTTTATTATTCTTCCCTTAAAAAAAAAAGGGAATTTAACAAGAAACCTAGAAACAGAAGTGCATCTTCTGCATCTGATCCAGCAGGAAACAAAAGCTGTTGTTCCTGACAGCTTTCAGTAGTCTACACTAAATTTGACAGGTCTCCTTCCATTTCTACACAGCTATTTTAACCACCACCATCATATTTTTCTCTATTTTAACTAGCAGTGGGCAGTGAACTTTTCTTTAAGATAACATGATGGCAAACATTTAGAAAGGCTGTAGGTTTTAACAAGAAATCTTGGAGAATTATGTGAACCTCAGTGACTGACCTGGACAATCTTCTTCTCTCACCACAGTAAAATACCCTCCAAATGCATTAATAACTTCAAGCACTCTTTTTAGCTTTCCAAGTTTTCAAAAAGCACAGAGACATGGCCTAAAGGCAATGGGAATATTTCACACATACCTAGAAATAGCTATACCAGTTATTCTTAACAATATGACAGGGTCAGCTGTTGAGGTGAGCAGAAAGAAATCAGAATTCAATAAAAACCCCACAATTACAAATAACATTACCTATTATCTTCTCTCATGTATAAAACTGATCAGGATGACTGAATATCCACAGGAACTCCCACTGATTAAGTAGATAGTAATAACTGATAGCATCTGATAGCAGTTGAGAAGTACTTGAGAGACTCAGAAGCCAAAAGGAAAATTACATTTCTGAGTTTAAGGTCACATTATACCACTTCTGTCTACTGCGCAGTACTAATCTGCTTCATTTCTATCAGGATGCTTTGTACTATATAACTTTAAAGACATGAAACTAAACCAATCCTGAATGTGTTCCAGCCTAATCACCATTTCTCTTCTCCAAGATTCCTGAGCAAGCACGTGTGAAACCAGCACTTGGTTCTGGTACTGCATCACCAGAAACTCAGAGACATTATACCACTTCTGTCTACTGCGCAGTACTAATCTGCTTCATTTCTATCAGGATGCTTTGTACTATATAACTTTAAAGACATGAAACTAAAACAATCCTGAATGTGTTCCAGCCTAATCACCATTTCTCTTCTCCAAGATTCCTGAGCAAGCACGTGTGAAACCAGCACTTGGTTCTGGTACTGCATCACCAGAAACTCAGAACCACAAAGGCCTTGTAGGTCTCGTCTGAGGGACGATGTGCCAGAAGCTAACAAAGCATCAACCATCCTAATTGTAGGGAGGGGCACACAACAATATTTTTCACCAGCCACAGCTCTCCTATAGGGTTTGACAATCAGCATTGCATTCACAGCTCTTTAAAAGGCAATACTGAATTTCTACACGTGTTTTTAATGGCACAGCCCAAGTCTACTCCTCCCTACAGAGGGCTGCACCGGAATCTCAGATAAAAGACTCCATCTCTTGTAGTGACAGAGGAAAGAATGACTAAACCTGATGAAGCGTTACTCAAAACCAATGCAAACATTTCCCTATTCATCTTGAACTGAATGTTACTATGTCAGCATTTTAAATGGGTTTGGCTTAACCAGTCAGTTGAAAACAGAATAGCAAAGCAAATTAATTGCTTAGCCCAGAAGTCCTGATAATTTCCTGCATCTTCTATAGTACCACAAGAAATTCAATTAACATATTACATTAGTATTATGGTCCATTGTTAAATGTGTATTGGCTGTAAGTGAAGTATAGTGCCAGAATAAAACAATTATGCTGTCAGAAGTCACTGAAACAGATACAGTTTGACCAGAAAACAGAATCTGAGCTTTGATTGATCTTGTTTTACTATACCAGTATTAAGTATGCTACATTCATTTATTAGGAAAGCTTCATTTCACTCTTAAAAGCACCACACCATGTCTAGCATACACATGACCCTGTCCACTCAGTCTCCTTCACAGGAACCTCCCAATTTGTATTGCAATACCTTCTAACAAAAACATTAGCTCATCCTAAAGGACAAATGAATGAAGCTGCCCTGCTGCACTCTAAATTTTCCTCTGAAGGCAGCCAAAATAGGCATGCAGGCTGAAATTCCCCAGTAAGATCTTGCACAGATTTCTCTGACCCTAAAAAGGTCTAAAATTTTATTGCCCAAGAGAATTTTTGTAAGCATTAACTGCAACTGCAATGAACTTATTACCCATCTGCTTCCCCTAATTTCTTCTTCATTTGTTCTTACATCTCTTCAGATTAATCTCTACCTTTTGTATAACACTATTCCTATTTTCAGGTCTCCTCTCTACAAGAAATAGTGTCAGCCTATAAAACAGCTCTCAAACTATTTCATTTGTTTTCCAAGTCACTGGTACAGAGGTTTCTTCTATTAGTAACGCACACAGTATTTAGATGTGTGCATCGTCAGTTCTCAAGGTTATTCCATGATTTATTGCCTGTTATAACTTTCTGACTACAGCTCCTCACCATGTCTATGTTGTCACAGTTTAGTGAAGACCTGAGCTTCTTTTCTGTAGTGGGTACAATTAAGAAATTTCTGATATGAACAAGTAATTCTACCTTTCCACAAAAGTCTCCGTGCAATGCAGACACAGTTCCACTGGAGCTGGTTAAATACCTCAGATTCCTCAAGGTTCTTTTCACTCTTGAGAAGTTCACAAAATGTGTTCAAACCAGACCCAGTAAGTTTCACACAGAGTACAGACCCATTTAATCTAGCATGGCAAACAAAGGATAGCATCTCTGGTTTGCTTAGAACCATGCCAGTGAGGTAGGTGAAATCAACTGTTGCTGAGTTGTTTGGGGTTTTTGGGGGGATGTGTGTGTATGTGTTGTTGTTTTGGGGTTTTCTGTTGTTTATTTGGGGTTTTTTTGTTGTTTTTTGTTTTTCTTATATTGGACTGAAATTGTTAACCAACATCAACTAAAAGTTCTTGAAGCCTAGGAAGGTCACCATGTCAAAAGTCACCTCAACAAATTAAACTTTCCTCTCCCTCTGAGCAATAGGAGACAACGAACATCCAGGTTAACAACCTTTTGTAAATTATCATTTGCAAGTTTTGAAGGCTGTAATTCTTTGAGTCAATGATCCTAGAGAAAGGGCATTATGGTCTTGGTTATGAAATCACAGATTACTTCATAGGACATCAGGCAGCAGCCACACAACAGCTGAGGTCCAGTACCCACACCAAAACAGTCTGGGGACTGGGATGGAAGCAAGCCAAAGGAAAACAGTGCTGTAACACAATTTGTTCCCCTTGTGTACATCTTCCAGTACAGGGATCCAAGTGTGCTATAGTGTCACATGCAAACCAGAGTTTTAGTATTTGCACAAGACATCCCAGAGAACATGCTGCAGCATAAGTACCCTGAGACTGAGTGTTCCCCACGTCCAAGATAGGTCTCACATTATGGCTCTTCAGGCAGAAAGGAACAGCAGCTTTCCATTCCCAGCAATATACTGGGTTGTCTAAGCCCTGATATGCCTGCTTATTAAAAACCTCAAGCAGCTCCAAGGTAACACTAACACCACCAACTAAAGCATTTACTCCCAATAAAGACAGTTGAGGGTGATTTTAATCTCGGGAGAGCAAAAGGAAACAGAATCAATACTGGAGTGTAGCTGGTTAATGAGCTAACAGATAAGACTAAAAACCATCAAAAAGTGGAACAAAAGCAAGTATCCTAGTTCTTTGCCACTCGGTGTGGAAGCTGAAGCTACAAACTGTATTGCCACAAAAACAAAGACATACTCAGTCATAAGTATTCACCAGTTACCAGCACCAACTTCTAGCGGTCTCAAAGGGATGCAGAAAGAACACCTTTCATGTATTTGAGGCTCCAGTGGAATTAAAGACCCCCATGATAGGCTAGTATAAACAGCTAGGCTTTAAGGAAGGCTTTGACAACACTCAGTTTGCCCCCATGCTGTTGTCAACTCTGTAGAGTGAGAAGAGCGTTATGCTGTTTGGGTAGAGACTTCCACCAGCCCTCTCATATCATTCATACATTCCTGCAAGTGAAGATCACAAACTGAACTATGAAAGAAAATATAATCAAGCCTGGAGTACATTCCAGTTGGTTGGATTGTTCCAGGCACCGATTCAGTACAAGCACAATGTGGATAGGAGTAGTAATTGCTAGAACTACAGTCATTGACCTCATATCTACTTCTCCCTCTGCAAAAACTTGCAGGGAGTTGCTTCGGAAGGCGATCAGATGTTATGAAGGGTTGTGCATAACTAGTTTAAAGAAAAAATGTATTATCTTTTATCTGCGCTGCTGTAGGCAGAGGTCTATGAAGAGATGATAGATGGAGCTTTCAATTAGTTGGTCACACTACTACCATGCCATGCAAAAGTAATGAACTTCTAAACAGATCTGGTTTTCCAAGTGACCCTTCCAAATTATGGTTACGCTACTTAGGGTAATATAAATACTTCCCCTTGCCTCAGGTAAAGGGCATGGTGAATCACTGAGGCATCAGGTGTCTCCTTTGGGTTTACTCTTCAAACAGACAGACACCTTAACACCCAAAGAGATGCTTTTAACACAGTTCTAGAAAGACATGCCAAGGAGGGGCCTACAGGACACCAAATAATAGAAAAATATCAGTAGCAACATCAATGATGTGCTGGAGGAAGCCAGAATATTACTGAAGAACACTCAAAACTTAGTAAACTGTCAATGCTTAACTATATGCCAGCGCTGAACCTGTAGTTCCCTCTCATGAGAGGATCATAAGGATGCCAAGGACATTGGATTACCAGCAGAGAAATCCAACTTACACTTCGAGGAGGTCCACGGCGTCGGCCATAATAGCCACGTCGATAGCGGCGCCGGTCTGCAGCGTAGCGGCTGCCTTCTACAGGGACTCCATCTGGACCAGTGACATTAGCTGCTTCCGCACCCTAAAAGGCCAAAGGAAGGTAAGCCAGGGTGATACAAGAGAAAACCAACCAGGTACAGGGAGAAAACACAACAGGAAAGAGGCTTGTTTGCATCAGTTCCAAGCTACAGAGATTCCTTCCTCCAAAGTAACACAAAAGCAGGTCTGCTGTTCCCAACCCTGTATTACAAGAGTTATGATCATGAGTTAAGAACCTATCAGGCAGCCAGAGTTCAGAGGAAATAGGAAGAAGTAACTGATTAAAGACAAAAAACCACCCCAAAATCAAAAAAGCTTAGAAAACTCAAAAAGCCTTTGAAAAAGTAGAAGTGCAAAGAACCTGAAGGTTCTTACAGTCATTAAGCTACCAGACTCCCAAGACAAACTCTTCAGGGCAATATATGCATCAGTTAATGTTTATTGGGAAGAATGCAAGCTTCAAACGCTCTATCAAGTAATAATTAAAAGTTCTAGAAGCAATAGGATGTAATTAGAGTTATGATACATACCTAGAAACATTTTTTAGTGAAGCCTTTAAAATCAGATCTTCCACAGAAAAGCTGTATGAATGCCACCCACCACAGGGATTAACACATTAGCTGCTCCCCACTGGAGTGATGATAGCTCTGCTGGACCACCCCCCTAAATCCCCATCATCTCTCACCTTCTCTCCCTCGACCACATCAAATTCTACAGTCTCTCCATCACCAACACTGCGCAGGTATTTCCGCGGGTTGTTTTTCTTTATTGCCGTCTTTAAAGAAAAAAAAGATACAGGAAAATATGTTAGTTTAATCTTACTCATTTTCATACACACTCATAGCCCCGTAGATGAGGGAAGGACAGTGTTCTGCTACAACCCCAACTCTACATGTCAGATCAGTCACCACACCAAGATACTTCAAATACGTAGATGTCTCATTTCACAGGCTCTCCAGTACTCAGTCAGGGTTTACTCCTTTCTCAATACTCATGAGTTTACAAATCAGGTGTTGCTCCAGGAATCCCCTCTGTCAAGCCTACTGAATGAACATGAGCCAGCAGTGTGCCCAAGTGGCCAAGAAGGCCACCAGCATCCTGGCCTGTGTCAGGACTCTGTAGAGTGAGAAGAGCGTTATGCTGTTTGGGTAGAGACTTCCACCAGCCCTCTCATATCATTCATACATTCCTGCAAGTGAAGATCACAGACTGAACTATGAAAGAAAATATAATCAAGCCTGGAGTACATTCCAGTTGGTTGGATTGTTCCAGGCACCGATTCAGTACAAGCACAATGTGGATAGGAGTAGTAATTGCTAGAACTACAGTCATTGACCTCATATCTACTTCTCCCTCTGCAAAAACTTGCAGGGAGTTGCTTCGGAAGGCGATCAGATGTTATGAAGGGTTGTGCATAACTAGTTTAAAGAAAAAATGTATTATCTTTTATCTGCGCTGCTGTAGGCAGAGGTCTATGAAGAGATGATAGATGGAGCTTTCAATTAGTTGGTCACACTACTACCATGCCATGCAAAAGTAATGAACTTCTAAACAGATCTGGTTTTCCAAGTGACCCTTCCAAATTATGGTTACGCTACTTAGGGTAATATAAATACTTCCCCTTGCCTCAGGTAAAGAGCATGGTGAATCACTGAGGCATCAGGTGTCTCACTCCTTTGGGTTTACTCTTCAAACAGACAGACACCTTAACACCCAAAGAGATGCTTTTAACACAGTTCTAGAAAGACATGCCAAGGAGGGGCCTACAGGACACCAAATAATAGGAAAAATATCAGTAGCCACATCAATGATGTGCTGGAGGAAGCCAGAATATTACTGAAGAACACTCAAAACTTACTAAACTGTCAATGCTTAACTATATGCCAGTGCTGAATCCGTAGTTCCCTCTCATGAGAGGCTCATAAGGATGCCGAGGACATTGGATTACCAGCAGAGAAATCCAACTTACACTTCGAGGAGGTCCACGGCGTCGGCCATAATAGCCACGTCGATAGCGGCGCCGGTCTGCAGCATAACGGCTGCCTTCTACAGGGACTCCATCTGGACCAGTGACATTAGCTGCTTCCGCACCCTAAAAGGCCAAAGGAAGGTAAGCCAGGGTGATACAAGAGAAAACCAACCAGGTACAGGGAGAAAACACAACAGGAAAGAGGCTTGTTTGCATCAGTTCCAAGCTACAGAGATTCCTTCCTCCAAAGTAACACAAAAGCAGGTCTGCTGTTCCCAACCCTGTATTACAAGAGTTATGATCATGAGTTAAGAACCTATCAGGCAGCCAGAGTTCAGAGGAAATAGGAAGAAGTAACTGATTAAAGACAAAAAACCACCCCAAAATCAAAAAAGCTTAGAAAACTCAAAAAGCCTTTGAAAAAGTAGAAGTGCAAAGAACCTGAAGGTTCTTACAGTCATTAAGCTACCAGACTCCCAAGACAAACTCTTCAGGGCAATATATGCATCAGTTAATGTTTATTGGGAAGAATGCAAGCTTCAAACGCTCTATCAAGTAATAATTAAAAGTTCTAGAAGCAATAGGATGTAATTAGAGTTATGATACATACCTAGAAACATTTTTTAGTGAAGCCTTTAAAATCAGATCTTCCACAGAAAAGCTGTATGAATGCCACCCACCACAGGGATTAACACATTAGCTGCTCCCCACTGGAGTGATGATAGCTCTGCTGGACCACCCCCCTAAATCCCCATCATCTCTCACCTTCTCTCCCTCGACCACATCAAATTCTACAGTCTCTCCATCACCAACACTGCGCAGGTATTTCCGCGGGTTGTTTTTCTTTATTGCCGTCTTTAAAGAAAAAAAAGATACAGGAAAATATGTTAGTTTAATCTTACTCATTTTCATACACACTCATAGGCCCATATATGAGAGAAGGACATTGTTCTGCTACAATCCCAACTCTACATGTCAGATCAGTCACCACACCAAGATACTTCAAATACGTAGATGTCTCATTTCACAGGCTCTCCAGTACTCAGTCAGGGTTTACTCCTTTCTCAATACTCATGAGTTTACAAATCAGGTGTTGCTCCAGGAATCCCCTCTGTCAAGCCTACTGAATGAACATGAGCCAGCAGTGTGCCCAAGTGGCCAAGAAGGCCACCAGCATCCTGGCCTGTGTCAGGATGTGGCGAGTAGGGCCCGAGAGGTGATTGTCCCCCTGTACTGGGCACTGGTGAGGCCTCACCTTGAGTACTGTGTCCAGTTTTGGGCTCCCTACCATAAAAAAGATATTGAGGTGCTGGAGCGGGTCCAGAGAAGGGCGACAAAGATGGTGAGGGGTCTGGAGCACAAGTCTTATGAGGAGAGGCTGAGGGAGCTGGGGCTGTTCAGCTGGAGAAGAGGAGGCTGAGGGGAGACCTTATTGCTCTCTACAACTCCCTGAAAGGAGGGTGTAGAGAGGTGGGGGTCGGTCTCTTCTCTCAAGTCACAGGCGACAGGACAAGAGGAAATGGCCTCAAGTTGCGCCAGGGTAGGTTCAGGCTGGATATTAGGAAAAATTTTTTCACTGAAAGGGTTCTCAGCCATTGGAATGGGCTGCCCAGGGAGGTGGTTGAGGCACCATCCCTGGAGGTGTTCAAAAGACGGGTTGATGTAGTGCTGGGAGATATGGTTTAGTGATGGTGATGCTCTTTGTTTGTTGTGTGGGTATTTATTTTTGTCAAAATTAGGTTGACGGTTGGACAAGATGATCTTTAAGGTCCCTTCCAACCTAGAAGATTCTGTGATTGTGATTCTGTGAATATCCAGACCATTACATATTTCTGTATGAGCCGAGTTCACACCAAGTGTTTGATTTCCTGCAAGCCATACAAAAGCAGCTCTGGCAGCAACCGTGACCTGCTCCTTCACAGTCATTAGAAGACCTGTAGACCATCTACAGAGAAGTTAAGACCAGGAGCAATTTTGTAGAAGATAGCATTAACTATAAGGCGTCATGGCAACTCGAGAAGAATTACTAGAACTCTGGTGTTACATTAAAAAAAAGCATTTTACCTAAGCACTGTAATGGAGACCCCAAAAATTAGATAAGTCCCTAAGGAACACTGGAATAGTACCAGAATAGACAATCTGAGGCTTCATCATCATTTCTGGACTGAGACCCTGAAATGCTGTTAACAATATGATCAAAACCAGTTGAAAACCTCTTCAGACTCACAGGAACCCTCCAACCTCCTAAAACCATTTTTCAGCCTGTCAACTACAGATGCCTTTCACTCTGTGGAGTATTTCTAGCATTCCACAAAAGGCAGTTAGCAAGACAAGCCTCCTATCTGTTCATCTGGTAAGTGTTCACAAACTGGAAGAGGCCAGGGGAGATAAAAAAAACCCCAAAAAACATAGCACCAACCAAAACATACACATTGTACAAGCCAATCTAGGGGCCAGCTTTTTACTGAAGTTCTCATAGATTAAGACCAATCCACCTCAAGTTTTCTGATAGGGGCATCTTTTGCTAGCATGAAGGAGGCAGGTGCAGATCCAGCAGACAGAAGCACGCACAGGAATAGAGGCACAAATCTGGCTTAATAGATGGGATGCAGGGCAGAAACAGAAGAGACAGTTTTCCTATCTGTTGCAGTTCAAGTGAAACAAGCAGAATGAAGATCAGTCGAGTTGTTGCCCCTGCGTGGCAACTGCAGTCATTCAGTCAAACAATAGCCCAAAAATATTTCCCACTGAAGAAAAAGTTCTAATCAGTTTGAAGTTGAACTTGACCAGTTTAGGAAAAGTATTCTCATTGTTACTGAATACAGTCCCCTTCGTGTTTTAGGCAACAAGCCAGCATGTCCTTGTAGCCCTATATCTAGCCACACCTTTCCCTGTACCCTGCACAACTTAAGGAAGAATGCAAGAGTGTACATATTATTGCTAGCAAAACAAAAACAACCCAAGAGCAGGGCTTTTTTTTTTTTTTTTGATACAGGAAGGGAATGAGCTGCTCAAGTGAATTCTTTGGGGAATTACTTTACAAAGCAGAGACTCCCACCATCAGCTGAGACAGCTTTGTTTGCTTTCTGCTGACCTATTAGTGGAACTGCCCCATTTCTAAAATCAGCTGGAAGTGCTAGATTTCCACAAATGCTATAATACCAGCACTAAAATCATTATCTTCCCTGCAGATTAAGGGCTTAATTCCTTCACCACCCCTTGTACTGAGACAACCGACTCAAAGTCATAAGACTTGTGCTGTGCATATGACAGAGATGTCAACAAGCTGCATTTCAAACTCCTTCCTCGTAAATGCAGAGGAAGAAAGAACTACCAGATCTCTTTTCAGCAGAGGGTGTACTTACAATTAATCAAACTCCTCAAACATCCTCTAATAAGGGTAATAGAAGATAAATTCAACAGGATTCCACATGTTCTGTTCCAGCTTCAGGAATAGAAACTTCAAGATTCAGAGTTGCAGTTGAATAACGTGCCAATAGGAGAAAGTGGCTACCACACACAGGAGGCTGGAGTTTGTTTCATAAAGACAACCAGGAACAATTTTGAGTAAGTCCTAGAATTCAGAGCAGAAACTAGACTACTTTACTACTTACTACTTCAGCTGCAGGTAAACATTGCTGAAATAAGCCTCTAACAAGCCTAAACTCTAAGTTTGATGAAAATACTTTTACTCTGTATATCCAGAGGGGAGAAAGCACTGTTCTCCCTGTTACTGTTCACCAACATCCTTCAGGATTCAGCTGCTTTGATTCAAAAGACAGACATTTTGTGTTAACACAGACAGCACTCAACAATTAAGACAGAGCCTTTCCTTTCCCAAGGGGACGCTAATGAACAGACAGCTTTAAGAATCTTCAGAGCCAGTCTGGTATTTTGTTTGGAAGAGTTCTTTCCATATCCTCATGATATCACCACATCATGTGCCCATCCAGCACTGTCACAGCAACAGCCAAGATTTGTTACGCCACTTACTGCTGCACGTAAATGAGGCTGTGCCCAATGAATACAACCCAGTGAAGAAGACAACAGACCTGTGCAGCAGAAGAGCTTAACTCTTCCTCACTGCTTGTCCATTTAAACTACACCTAATTAAATTGGGACTTCCCTGGCTACTGACACTTTTAATGGTCTTGAATTGCAAGATCCTCCTTCCCCCCTGCCCCAAGACACACTCCATCCACCCCCCAAGGCAGATGGATCCCCGTTGCTTGCACCACCTCTAACTGACACAGTGCCCTAGATAACGTTAAAGGACATCAATAGCACCTTGCACGAACCATCCGACCAAGGATGGATGTGAGGAAGACAAAGCAGGTGAAGCACTGCCCTTCCCCAAAACGCTGCTTGGGTCCCCCCCACGAGAAAAAGGGTTAATTCAAAGCAAGCCATGCATGCCCTAAAGAGAAAAGCATTTTAATCTGTACTAGGTTTATAAATAGCATCCAATAGCCAGACACCGAGCGTTAACCCCCCATTCCAATCATGAGATCGGCCTGTTCCCTCCCCACTGCGGATGCGTGCTGGGGAGGAGGCTGTATCTATTCAACTAGGTCAGCCTTATTCTGAAGGGATTAGGCATGTAATCCAGCCCCTCCCGGGACAGGCAGGGGGAGGAGGGGCAGAACCGGGCAGGAACCCCGGAGAGGGAGCTTGCAGCAGGATGTTTGCTTACGCCATGGATTTGTCTCCCTCGCTGGGCGGGCCCCGTCCATCCGCTGGCCCTGCCGAGCCAAGCGCTCCGGGCAGGAGCTCCGGACAGAAAGCCCCAGGCTCTGCTAGGGAGGACGTTCCTGCAGAGGAATGGCTGGAGATGGAAGAGCTGAGGGAACACCCAATTACAGCCAACCCAGGCCAGAGCTGGAAGCTAGATCTACTCTGGACGCACAGCCCACCAACAGGGTTGATCAGATGCAACCCTGCACTGAATTTCACTGAATTTTTTTAGAGTTGGAAGGGACCATAGAGATCATCTAGTCCAACCCCCCTGCTGAAGCAGGATTGCCTAGAGCTTGTCAGAGCATGTCACTCAGGAGCATCCAGGCGGGTCTTGAAAATCTCCAAGGAAGGGGACTCCACACCCTCCCTGGGCAGCCTGTTCCAGGGCTCTGCCACCCTCACTGTGAAGAAGTTTCTCCTCATATTTGAGTGGAACCTCTTGTGTTCCAACTTGTGCCCGTTGCCCCTCGTCCTCTCAGTGGGAACCACTGAAAAGAGTCTGGCTCCCTCCTCCTTCAACCCTCCCTTGAGATACTTGTAGGCGTTGATAAGGTCTCCCCTCAGCCTTCTCTTCTCCAGACTAAAGAGTCCCAGCTCTCTGTCTCTCCTCATAAGGGAGATGCTCCAACCCCTCCATCATCTTTGTTGCCCTACGCTGGACTCTCTCCAGTAGTTCCCTGTCTCTCTTGAACTGGGGAGCCCAGAACTGGACGCAGTACTCCAGTTGTGGCCTCACCAGTGCAGAGTAGAGGGGGAGAATGACTTCCCTTGACCTGCTGGCTACACTCTTCCCTATACAACCCAAGATACCATTGGCCTTCCTGGCCGCAAGAGCACACTGTTTACTCATTGCCATTTTACTGTCCACCAGGACCCCTAGATCTTTCTCTTCAGTAGTTGCCTCTAGCAGGTCCACCCCTAACCTGTACTGGTACCTGACATTTTTCTTCCCCAGGTGCTCTCTCAGTCTCTCCTCATAAGGGAGATGCTCCAACCCCTCCATCATCTTTGTTGCCCTACGCTGGACTCTCTCCAGTAGTTCCCTGTCTCTCTTGAACTGGGGAGCCCAGAACTGGACGCAGTACTCCAGTTGTGGCCTCACCAGTGCAGAGTAGAGGGGGAGAATGACTTCCCTTGACCTGCTGGCTACACTCTTCCCTATGCAACCCAAGATACCATTGGCCTTCCTGGCCGCAAGAGCACACTGTTTACTCATTGTCATTTTACTGTCCACCAGGACCCCTAGATCTTTCTCTTCAGTAGTTGCCTCTAGCAGGTCCACCCCTAACCTGTACTGGTACCTGACATTTTTCTTCCCCAGGTGCAGGACCCTACACTTTTCCCTGTTGAACCTCATGAGGTTCTTCCTTGCCCAGCCCTCCAGCCTGTCCAAGTCTCGCTGGATGGCAGCACGGCCCTCTGGGGTGTCAGCCACCCCTCCCAGTTTGGTATCATTAGCAAACTTGCTGAGGATACACTGTCCCCTCATCCAGGTCACTGATGAATATATTAAACAGCACGGGTCCAAGTATTGACCCCTGGGGGACTCACCACTCACCATGTGCTCTCTCTGAAACGTCACACCAGTTTTGCCCAGTCCTCACCGCGACAGGATTTCAGCCAGAGGAGATGAGGAAAAAAAAGTTCCACACATACACACACCCCACACCAGTTTACATTTAGGTGAATAATCTCCACAGGTGAAAGAGACAAAACAATACAGATAATACTAGCTTGCTGTTGGCTTTCACTGTCTGTGTCTCTACAGGCAGCCTTCCCAAGCAGAATAATAACTGATCCATGTTATCTCTGTTATCAGCACAACAAACATTTTCCAGGCTATCTTCTCACAGGTCTAAGGGAGACCTCACTTGCCTTCAAGGTAGTTTTGCAGTGCCGCCTATCCAGAATGTGTTTCTGCTACTGGAACTCTTCCCACCTTCCTCTGGAAGCTCCCCTGGAGCTCCCATGAGGCTGCAGATGCAGGATCTGTATCAGCATGCACACAAGTCATGGTCATTACAGAAGGAGGGTGACCATTAGAAACTGGTACATGCATTAAGAGCACTTGCTCCCAGACCACTAACTGAACTGGGAATGTGTACTGACAAGCTTCCTGACATCTTCCCTCCTTACGGGCACTGGACTTACTCTGTCCCAGCTTCACCCATTTTAGGGCTAACCAGTCTACACCCCTTGACCCCGAGAAACTGTTAGCACAGGCTATTTAGTCACCAAGCCACAAAAACTAATCTAACTCTCAATGTTGATCAGCATGTTTAGCACAGCTACATAAGCACATATCCTCATCCTCTGTGACCACGTCTGAGGGCAAGGATCCTGGTAATACTTGATGGAAATACTGCCATTTATACCACAGAGAAAGCTCACACATTTAAGAATCACATGGGCCAGCAGACATTTCATATGGGAGAGGCTCCAGGGACAATATTCCCTTTTCTGTCAAAGTCTCAGATAATGCAAAACCAGACCTGAGCCAAGTAATCAGTTTATATCAGCACGAAGACAGCATCCTCTGTCTTCCCATTAGTTGGCTGTGACTTAAGAGTCCCAGTATAAACTTAGAACAGCCCACCGGCGGTTCAAGGAAACCGTCAATAAAAAGCTGCTGGGCAATCTCTGCCTGCTTGGGCACACTTGGCACACAGCCTTCCCCCTCTTTTTCCTAAGAGCAGCTGCCTCCCGCAGCAACAGCTGATGGCAACCCAGGCTGGTCAAGAGCCAGACTAGATCACTTTCTCTCCAATACCAGGGAGGGCAGACAGAAGAGACCAGCAAACAAAAAGCATAGGAAGAAACAGAAGACACGAGGAGCACAAGGAAATAGGGGGGGGGAAGGACAGACAAGTAGCAAGGTATTTACAGAACAAGAGTCATCCTCTCAGGGAAGGGACAACGAAACAAAACCACACCAAAGACACCCCCAAAACCCCTTAGTGTTCAAATCAGAGCAGACAACAGAAAGCATAAATAGTTATAATACCTACTTCTTCAGTTATAACTTCACAGAGAAGGAAAACACACCCTAATGCTACTCCCTGAAGATTGTAATGTGTATGTCCAGTCAATGTATTTGTGGTAAATGTTCTAAGAAGCCAGGACAAGGTTGGGTGGCTGTTTCAGAAGTTGCATTAGAAACCTATCGTAGTACACATCTCCAAGTACAATCATTGCTGTCTTACCTGATGAACAAACACATCTTCTTTGGTATCATTTCTGTGAAAAGAAAGTGAGAAGTCATAAGAGTTTAGACTAAGGGATTTAAATAGAAATCCCTGACTTCACAAGTGAAGCCCTCCTCCCCCCAGCCTGTAGTACATCCCCTGGATTCCTTACATTCTGTCTAAGTCTATGCTACCAAGACCCTGCTCTGAATTTTCAGGGTCATAAGCTTGACAGCAGAAAGGACTCCCCACCCTTCAGAAGTGTGAGGGGACAGGCGGGGAGGTTCTCCCTAATCTGCTGGCAAAGGTTCAATATTTTGTTTTGATACAGAGCAGAATTAATGACTACACCTCTTGCCTTTCACTAGTCTACCCTCCCAAAAAAAACTTCCACAGGGGCTGCAACCTGAGCTGTTATCCCAGAGGTCAAGCAAGACTATCAACAGGACTGGCCACAGCTGTTGACAGAGCTCTCCTTTCAGTGAAACTCAAAGCAACCATGCACAAGAGGTGTTAGAGTCCATTAGAGGGTGACATGAACATGAGGTTGTCTGAGATTAGGCCAGCCAGTTCAGGCTTCCGCATGCAAAAACACAAAGACAGGTCTGAGACCTTGATTCTGTGTTCCCCTACAAAAGAAAATGCCTAGGCCCTGCCGTCTGTTCACTCAATTCCTTCTCTACACAAGGAACAGGTGGGTCAAAGAGTTTATGAAGATAATGTATAATCCAAAAACTTGTTGCACTGGACTGAAGTAACAGTAGACGTCAGTTTAGGAAGAAAACTGACAAGTTGTTACACCATATCCAGTGGCAGGCTCTCACATCAACTGCTCTGAAAGCCTTTAAGAGTACCTGATAATTCAAGCTTTTCTTCTAAGCTTATGTTAACACTGGATAGTAGCCTCCAGAGACTGGCATCAGTACTGTAGAGGACTGCCTTCCGATCCATGAAACAGGGCTCTTCTACCCCTTTTCTACAGTGTCCAACTCATCCAAATCCACCTGCTGTGTAACTTGGATTACACAGACTTGCAGGACACAATAACTTGCCAGGTATGTCTTTTGCAAGACAAGCATTCACCATGCAGGAGCTTTGTTTTTCATAATGTACACAAGACATTTAAGCCCCTCAACCTCACAGATATTCCAGCCTTAAAAGCCAGTTTCCTCCAGTAACTGCCAAGTGCAGGTCTTTTGCACCTAGGGGTGAAGCGTGATCACTTACAGATATTTGGATTATTTATACCATTCAGAAGTTTGTTCACATTCAGAGGAGAAGAAAGAGATACAAAGACAGAACTTCTATGAACCCAGGCCTGGATATCTTCAGTTAGATAATGTCAGAGAATCTCAATGTCCATTTAGGCATCAGTTAATACTTGAATTTTTATCCAGAAGTACTTCCCCTCATCCTCCAAGCTTACTTGCACTTAAAGTTTAAAAAAAAGAAAAAGCCAGGATGTCACAAAAGAACATACAGCTCATTAAAGGTGTAGTATCAATAAATGTGAGAAACAAGTAAGAAATCCATGATAAGTCTGAACCTTTCTTTTTTCTCCCCATGCACCCTCCATTGAAGGTTGTGTGTAAGGGAGGGTAGAGTCCCTTGAGACTATATCCACATTTGTTGAACACCCAGCCAATTCTGGCCATCAACTGCATGAACTTGTAATCAGGTCCCTGGGCCTCTGCTGCAATTACTAACGCATGACATTATCTGTACTATGAGTCTTAGTACAGTAAATACAACTATCATAATTTAAACATACCTGTTGATAAAGCCATATCCATTTCTGACATTGAACCACTTGACTGTGCCAACAACTTTGGTGGCTGAAAAGAGGAAGTTAAAGAGAATGTTACAAAAGTATTTTCATACCTGCACATGAAGTCACAACCAAATCTATTCTGCTCCCTTAACACTCGAAGGGTACCTTCACATTCCACTTCAGTTTATACAAACACAGGAGCAGTAAGCAGTGCTTTCACCTGCTGTTCTTCACCCAGCAGTTTACCACCCAGCATCTAGAATGAAGTCCAGCTCTATTTTCAGAATTGGCCGCATGTCCCTTTTTTATTCAACCCAGAAACGGGCAGTGAAGCTGCAAATCCCACTGCCATTCATCTGTTCTCTTTAGCTTAGAAGCTAGACGTGAAACATAGCTGAAGAAAGCTGTTTGAAAGTCCTCTCAGAGTTACCCTTCCTTTCTTCCTTGGAAAGGAGAACTGGCCAAAGAAGCAATAACATAAACCACAGCAACTCTCAAGTGGAAAGACAGCACACCCGTATTTTGGACAAGCTCTTCCTTGCATTGTCAACACCACTCTAACCAAACAAGACCCCAGAAGCTGTTTTTTTTTGTGTGTGCATTTTGTTTGGTTTTTTTTTTTTATATATTCCTACTTCTAGATATCCAATTTACCAGTTACCAACTGTAACTGTATGTTCCAAAGGAAGACAAGCTCCCGACTCAACAGCATCTTATTTAGAAGCCATAATGCAGCGTCTTATAGGATCTGGCAAAACCTGTTCCTCCAACATATACGTGTGGGAGGAACTCAACGGCAATGGAGGTAGCTCAACCTCTCCTTCCCTCTCAGCAACTGGGTGGAGGCCACAAGCTTGTGCTTTTTAAACCTACAGAAAAGAGAGAATTTGGGGCTCTAGATTTTAGTACATGTTACTTAGAACATATTATGATCACAACTATCTAAGCAATTTACATAGTACTTGTTTGAAAGGGTCTAGTCACCTACAGATGACTGCTAGTTAAAAACCTTACATATGTTTAGGGGGTGGGAGGAAACCAAGAAGCAATTAAAAGGAAAATAGCCTAGAGAGAATCTCCTGTTCAGAAGTCCAAGCCAGTCTGCTAGAGGCAGAACACACTGCAAATCATTACCTTCATCTGCTCTACACCTGTATTCTTCCCTAAACATCCACTAGATGACAGAGCTAGACAGACCTTTGGTCTCACACCGTCTTGCCATTCTTATATATCCCTTAGACAGACAAAAAGAGTAACCTCCTCCTCCCCAAATAGACAGCTAAAGTAGGAATGTTCACTGATAGCAACCCATTGCAGTACTGTTGTTGATACTGAAAGTAATAAGAGGGCATTTCTCATTGCACCTGTAGAAGTGAAAGTTTTGGTCTTTAATATATTTTTTTAGCAAAAAAAAAAGTTCATATTTAGAAGAAGCAAAGCCATGTTAAGACTAAGCCAGTTCTTAGAGGAAAGGGCTCCACCTAGTACAGCATCCATACCCAAGACTTCTTGGTTACAGACATAAAGACCCTAAGTTCCCACTGCTTAGCACTGATTCACTAGCAATAACAATCCTCAGCAGCAACACTTATAGTTGTGTTTTTCAGTTTAGTTTCATGGGTATGTCACTGTGGAAGGGGTGTCTGTACCTAAAGGCACTGGCTACATACAAGATCTCACTCATTAAGACAGAAGTCAACCAGGGATGAAGCAGAGGGAAAGGGGGAAGCACAGAATCAGGTGCCAATGGCACACACAGATTTTTAGCCTGCTTTAAGAAACAAGGCTAATACCACTGACTCTTCCACCATTGTCCCTTCCCTCCCCCACAAAATAGCTATTGAATCTGTTGGGCTACTTCAGTCAGATCAGGGAGAGAGTGAGAAACCTAGGAAGCCTGAGGAAAACCCTCAGAGGAGTCAGAAAGCTGGTGGAAGGAGAGGTTGTCAAAAAAGTCACTCTACATGGTCAACTGGCTGCTGATAAACGCAAGTCCACACACACAGCTTCAGAGCAGCATTGCTCCTTTTGCACAAGCTGCCAGAGACCAGGGGTGAGTCTCCAATATATTCCCTAAAACAGCATAAGGGGAAATACCACTCCCTACCCACATTAGTCTTACAGTCTCCCCTCAGCACGACAGTGGGGGAAAAGACCATCAGACACAATAGCACGACACTGAACATCCACGTGGCCATGGTGCAACCATTGCAGAGCCTGAGCTGTCACAGCAGGGAGATGAGGCAAGGAGGAAGACAAGCCCAGAGTAAGCCATAACCAGTTTTACTGACAAGTCAGAGAAGAGAGCTGGTGTGATGACACCTATCCCACTAGCAAGTGAAAGCCTGCATATTTCTACAAGATGCTGTACTGTGATGCTGTCAGAGGAAACACTCATCAGCCACTCCCACCCATGCCAAAATAGCCTCTTCATTAGTTTTAACAAGGAAAGCCAAAGTTTCCTGTGACCAAGAGAGAAGAGAAAGTTGATTAGCCGTTATCCTTATTCCTAGAAGTCAGACATTTGGATGCCCTGGGCAAACATCAGACCTTGCTTCTAATGGGATCTTTGTAAGAGAAAACTTAAGTGAACATGATTACAAGATCATTAACGGGGACATTTGAGGTGGACTTGATTGTATGTCTATTTTCCATTAGCATTATCAATGATCATTTTCCTTACAACTCCTGCTAAAAAGCTTGCCTAGCAATAAGGCCAGTATGAAAAACCATCACCACAATGGTTCTCCTTTTCCTGCTAGACCAGAAAAGGCACTTGTGCCTTCACTTTCCCCCCCCTCTCGCCCTGCTCTCCAAGCAATAGCAACAGGTGAACAAAATAAAAACATTACCAAGAATGAAACAAGCCACATTAAGGGAAGAAGCAACCAGACATGCCAACAGATACAGATGTGCCTTGACTGATAACTGACAAATCAGATAACAGAACAGAGGAAAAACACACCAACAGCACCTCCAATTTCTAGAAGGATTTGCTAGAATCCTTCCTGACTCAGCTCCAGAGAAATCCTCCTCTATTTGCTGCTGTACAACCTCAGTCTTTCCCTTCCAAAGAGGGAACGAGGATACTTGTCTTTCCTCTGTGAAGTTCAGGACCCCATGCTAGTCCTCAGCCTCAGCTTTCTCTGCCTGGCTAGCCTCTCAAAGTTAGGCAGTTACAAACAGCAGATCCCCGTTTCCACCTTTTCAACAGGTTGATCCTGTTCAGGCACAACAAGGAAACGTTAGCTGTGCGCCGGGCTTGAGCGCCGAGAGGGCAACTTGGCATTTCACTTGCATATTAAATCGTAGAATCATTCAGGTTGGAGAAGACCCTTGGGATCACAGAGTCCCAACCATCAACCCTCCTCTACAAAGTTCTCCCCTACACCATCTCCCCCAACACCACATCTAAACGGCTCTTAAAACACATTCAGGGATGGTGACTCAACCACCTCCCTCCCTGGGCAGCCTATTCCAGTGTCTGACGGCTCTTTCTGTGAGGAATTTTGGTTGGTTTTTTTTTTTTTCCCCCCTAGTGTCCAAGTCTAAACCCATCCTGTCACAGCTTGGAGCCGTTCCCTCTCCTCCTATGGCTAATTACCTGCGAGACCACCACCGACCCTCCCTACAGCGTCCTTTCAAGTAGCTGTAGAGAGTTGAGGAGGTCTCAGCCTCCTCTTCCTCAAACTGAGGGGGAAAAAAAAAAACAAACACAACAACCAAACCCCCCCCAAAAAAAAAAAACCCAACAAAACCACCTGAGGGCCACAGAGGGGGCACCACCTGGTTTAGCAGCAACCCCTTTCTAAGGTGTGTGTGGGGGAATGTCCCCTCAGGGCAGCAGGTGCCGGGAAGCCCCCTCAACATGGCTGCGCTTCACTCCTCTATTCCCTGCCCGGTCCCGGAGAAGTTACGAGCAGGGCCCGTCCACTCACCCAACACTTTTTTCTCCGTCTCAGGCGCGGTGGTTGCGCTGGTAGTGGAGGAAGAAGCGGCGGTAGATGCGGCCGCCTCAGCAACAGCCGCACCCGGCGCGGCGGCGGTAGCGCTGACAGGGCTCTTGGGCTTGGCGTCCGGCGGGGGCGGCGCGGGGGTTGCAGCCGGGGCGGCGGCACCGGCATCGGTGGTAGTAGTGGTGGTGGTGATCGTGGCGGTGGTCGTCGTGGCAGCGGTGGTGGTCTCCGCCGCCTCGCTCATGGTGGGTGAATGGATGGCGGGAGGGTGAGGCGGTCGGTGCGCGGCGCTGAGCGTCCCTCGGGCCCCGCGCTGGGTCTTACTGCCCCCAAAATGGCCCCGCCGAAGTTTTAACACAGTCAGCGGGGGCCGGCGCCGGCAACTCGCGCCGCCTCATTTGCATTTAAAGGGGCCGCGCCGGCGTAGAGGGAGGGAGGGAGGGAGCGGTCCCCCCCCCACGTCGTGGGCCCGGCCTGCGAAGGAAGGAGGCTGACACGCGTGGGTGGGCGGAACTCCGGCCGTTTTACGCCGCGTGCGGGGCGCTGCGGGTATAGACGTGGGTCTGGCGCGCGTGTGTGTGCGGGGTGTGTGTGTGTGTGTGTACGTGCGTGGGGCGTGCGCGCGGCCGCGGCGTGGAGCGGAGCGGGGAGGGGGGGAAGGGGCACGCGCATCCGTGTCCGTGGGGACCCCTGCGCGCGGGCACGGCTGTTTATGTGTATAGATATCTATATAGTTATATACATATATAGATATAGACGGCGGTGCGTGGGAGCTGCCCCTGGGTTCCCCGCGTGGGCGAGCGCGGCTGAGGCACAACGCCCGCCCCTGCGTGGGCGACCGGAGGACGGTGGCGGCGCGGGGGGAGTGTGTGTGTAATGATGCTGTTGCGGGGGGGTGTGTGTGTGCGTGAATGAGTGGGTGGGTGCGTGGGACAGGGTGCCCCCCCACTCCTCCCTCCCCTTCCCCCCCACCGGTGCCGTGGCTCCGGTTTCTTTCCGTGGTGTCCCCCCGTGGTGTCCTTCCAGCTCGCGTCTCCCGTGACACATAGTTTCCCACTCACACCCCCCCCACTGCTGCCTCATCACCGTGACATGACCCCACGTCCATCCCGCCCCCACTAGTGGTCTTTCCACCACGTTCCTGCTCTTTCCTGCAGTTTCCACGCCAGCACCCCCAGTCCTTGCACCACGGTCCCACCACATCCCTTCCCTGAGTTGCCTCTGCGTTGGGTCTGGCCTTCTCCACCAGATGGATGCCTCCACTGAAGGTCACCCAGCCTTCGCCACCTCCTGAAGTTCTCCTTTGCTCCCCTGCGTGCCTGTGCTCCGAGAGCGTGATCCTGGTGGGTTTTCCCCGTGTACCCCCTCCTGATCCCCACTTCTCGACAGTTCCTCGTTAGTCCCCACAACAAAAATGACGGCCTTTGGAGAGTGTCCCTTGCTGAACATCATCATAGAATCACAGTCAGAATGGTCAGAGTTGGAAGGGACATCAAAGATCATGGAGTTCCAACCCCCCTTCCATGGGCAGGGACACCTCCCACCAGACCAGGTTGCTCAAGGCCCCATCCAGCCTGGCCTTGAACCCCTCCAGGGATGGGGCAGCCACAGCTTCCCTGGGCAACCTGTTCCAGTGTCTCACTACCATCAGAGTGAAAAATTTCTTCCCAGTATCTAATCTAAATCTCCCCTCTTCCAGTTTGAAGCCATTACCCCTCGTCCTGTCACTACATACCCTTGTAAAAAGTCCCTCTCCAGCTTTCTTGTAGACCCCATTTGGACACTGGAAGGCTGCTGTAAGGTCTCTCTGGAGCCTTCTCTTCTCCAGGCTGAACAACCCCGACTCTCTCAGCCTGTCCTCATAGCAGAGGTGCTCCAGCCCTCTGAGCATCTTCATCACCCTCCTCTGGACTTGCTGCAACAGGTCCATGACATTCTTATGCTGAGGACTCCAAAGCTGGACAAAGTCCTCCAGGTGGGATCTCACGAGTGCAGAGTAGAGGGGCAGAATCACCTCCCATGACCTGCTGGATACAGTTCTCTTGATGCAGCCCAGGATGGGGTTGGATTTCTGGGCTGGCACTGCCGGCTCATGTTGAGCTTCTTTTCCACCAACATTCCGAAGTCCTTCTCCTCAGGGCTGCTCTCAGTCCATTCTCTGGCTGTACCCACCCCTCAGGTAGCAATGCCGACATCAGCTCTGAAGCAGTCTCAGATGAAGTGTTCACTGGAAGGCACACCTTAAGGGATGGTTTAAGCTGCCCGAGATCTCACCTATTGAAACTCCTCCAGAACCTTGAACCTGGGTTTGACAGATCACAGAATCACAGAATCACATGGGGTTGGAAGGGACCTCTGGAGATCATCTAGTCCAACCCCCCTGCCAAAGCAGGTCCATCCAGAGCAGGTTGCACAGGAACGCGTCCAGTCGGGTCTGGAATGTCTCCAGAGATGGAGACTCCACCATCTCTTTGGGCAGCCTCTTCCAGGGCTGTGCCACCTACATGAGGAAGTTCCTCCTCATGTTTAGATGGATCTTCTTATATTCAAGTTTGTGCCCATTTCCTCTTGTCCTGTCCCTGGGCACCACTGAAAAAAGACCAGCCCTGTCCTCTTGACACCCATCCTTTAAGTATTTATAGGCATTGATCAGATCCCCCTTCAGTCTTCTGCAAACTAAAAAGACCCAAGTCCCTCAGCCTCTCCTCGTAAGGGAGATGCTCCAGGCCTCTCATCATCTTTGTAGCCCTCTGCTGTCCCCTCTCCAGCAGTTCCCTGTCCTTCTGGAACTGGGGAGCCCAGAACTGGTCCCAGTGCTCCAGATGGGACCTCCCCAGGGCAGAGCAGAGAGGGAGGATAACTTCTCTGGATCTGCTGGTCACACTCTTCCTGATGCACCCCAGGATGCCATTGGCCTTCTTGGCCAGAGGGGCATGTTGTTGGCTCATGGTCATCCTGTTGTCCACCAGGACTCCCAGGTCTTTTTCCTCAGAGGTGCTCTCCAGCAGGTCAGCCCCCAACCTGTCCTGGTGCAGGGGGTTATTCCTCCGCAGGTGCAGCACCCTACACTTGCCTTTGTTGAAGTTCATCAGGTTCCTCTCTGCCCAGCTCTCCAGCCTGGCCAGGTCTCGCTGTATGGCAGCACAATGTCAGGGCCAAAAGAAGAAGATGCTACAACACTGTGATGGGACCCTCCCACAGCTGCAAACAGACTAAGGCACAACTACTCGAGTGAGATTGATAATGAGCTGTTTTGAAATTCCAACCGCTTTCGGAGCGTTCGGAGGTATTTCCACCCTCACAGGCATCACTGCTGCCAGTTCAATTACTTACACCATTTTCTAAATCCTGGATGGAAATTATTACTACAGTTCTCCTCACAGCATCCCACTCTACGCATAAGAAACACAAAAATTAATTTTTGTCCCCTAGTTTTTAATCCTCCGCTCTATGTTAATGTCATCATTTTATAATTATGTCACTTTGTGTCATGTTCAGAGTGCGTGAAAATTTCTCTGAGGGTGCTCATTTGCATAAATTTTGAGAGGAAGGCTTATTGCGCTAAGTCGAATGTGTTATCAAAATTCAGGCACTCCAGATACCAAATTTCTTTTCAATGAAGTCTTTAATTACTTTTTTCTTCCTCAAGCTAATTTTAGAGTTTTATTGAAAAGCCCATTCAGCAAAAAAATTACAGCCTACAAGCTGTGGAAATGTATTGTGCTTTATTCCATTCCTTTGTAGAAAATTGGCCATGGTTTTCGACTTCTTCTTTTTTCTATTATTTTAATAATGACAAAACGTAAGAATTACAGAGTAGTCTTAGTTTTCCTTTTCTTGCTGACAATTGGTAATACGGTTCCTTTCCTTCAGTATTCAATCTCTTTTAAAAAATTACGTTGGAAGAAATTAATCCACCAACTTGGGTAATAAAAAATTATAACTGGTGCATGTGGAGACTAATTTCTGCGCCTCTCTACATTTTCTGAATGCTTCCTATCAAGTAATTCTAAATAACTATTTTATAAAATTTAGAACATTACAGAATCTGAGGATAGTTGAGGTTGGAAGGGACCTCTGGAAGTCATCTGGTCCAACCTCCTGCTCAAGCAGGGCCACCTAGAGCTGGTTGCCCGGGGCTTCCTATCAACTAACTCTAAATAACTATTTTATAAAATTTAGAACATTACAGAATCTGAGGATAGTTGAGGTTGGAAGGGACCTCTGGAAGTCATCTGGTCCAACCTCCTGCTCAAGCAGGGCCACCTAGAGCTGGTTGCCTGGGGCTGTGTCCAGACAGCTTTTGAATATCTCCAAGGATGGAGACTCCATGACCTCTCTTCTCAACAGTCCCAGCTCCTTTAGCCTTGCCTTGTAGGAGAGATGATCCCATCCCTTCATCATCTTTGTGACCGTTTGTTGGACCCTATCCAGTATGTCCATGTCTCTCTTGTATTGGGGGAACTCAGCACGGGACACAGCACTTCAGGTATGGCCTCACCAATGTGGAGGAGTTACCCACTGACAACACTCCTCCTAAAGCAGCCCCAGACACCGTTAGTCTTCCTTGCAACAAGGGCTCATGTTCATGTTAGCTCACGTTCAACTTGGTGTCCACCAGGACCCTCAAGTCCTTTTTCTGCAAAGTTGTTTTCCAAATGGGTGGTCCCCAGCAGGTACCAGTGCCTTAAGTTGTTCCTCCCCAAGTGCAGGACTCCACGCTTCTTATTGGACTGCATGGAGTTCCAGTCATCTCATTTCTCCAGCCTGTTGAGGTCCCTCTGGATGGCAGCACACTCCTCTGGCATATCAGTCACTCCTCACAAACTTGCTGAGGACTCTGCCCTATCACTCAGATCATTAATGAAGATTTTGAACAGGGTTGGACCCAGAATTGTCCCCTGAGGTACAGCACTAGTTACTTGGCCTACAGCCAGACTTTGTCCCACTGATGGGGACCCTCAACAGGTACCAGGGTGACTAAAGTCCTCCATGGGGATAGGGCCTGGAAACATGAGGCTCCTATCTGTCGGTGCAGGGCCTCACCCACTTGTTCTTTCTAGTCAGGTGGCCTATAGCAGTCACCCATTACAACGTCACCCATACTGGTCTGCTCTTTAATCCTTGTGTTGCTTGCATCCTTGTGTTGGCTCATCATCCATCTGCCCAGGCAGAGCTCCAGGCACTCCAGCTGCCCTCTCATGTAATGGACAACTTTTCAGCCTGTCCTTCCTAAAGATCCTGTACCTCTCCATTGCAACGTCTCCACACCTCTGCTGTCCCTGTGAGACTGTAGCCCTGCAACTGCCCACACATCTCTAACTCATCGATTTTATCTCCTGGACCACGTGCACTGGTGTACAGGCACTTCAGA